TCTTCAACCATTTGACCAAACAAGGTATCATACCTTTGATTTTGCTTCTGTTGTTCCTGCATAAATGCTTGAAGAGTATTGCTCAAAGAAGGTCTAGCATTAAATGTATTAGTTGCAGGAAACTGATGATTGAAAGAATTTCTATCACTTACCTGATATTGTGAATCATTGCTCCAACGAAAGTTTGGATGATTCCTTGTTGCAGGATTGTAAGTGTTGGAAAAAGGAGAATACTGTTGTTTGAAGTTTCCAACAGTAGCACAACGCTCCTCATAAGCTCCTTTTATTTCCTGAAAAATTGGGCAGTTTTTAACAGTATGACCAATCTCATAACAAGAATCACATACTTGATTAACATCAGCTTGAAAAACAGGTTGAGGCAAATTTGATTTTTCCGTTTTCAAAGCAGCTATCTCTTTAGTCAAAACCTCAAATTTTAATTTCCAATCATCTTCTTCTTTTAATTGGTAAATTCCTTTATTAGTAGAAGATGTGACAATTCTTGAACGATCAGTGGTTTCAACTAGACTGGGGACAGTCCATTGATGAGCTTTTTCAGCAATTTCATCCAAAAATTCTAAGGCATCATCAGGGTCTTTTTGCATAAAATTTCCATTACACATAGACTCAACAAATTGGCGATCACGAGGGAGAAGTCCCTCATAGATATAACTAGCAAGACGCCAGTTTTCAAAGCCATGGTGTGGACACAAATTCAAAAGCTCTTTAAATTTTTCCCAAGTTTGATACAAAGTTTCATTTTCCTTTTGAGAGAAATTTGAGATTCTTTGCTTAAGAGCAATCGTCTTGTGATTAGGAAAATACTTGTTAAAAAATGCTTGAGTCATTTCCCCCCAAGAACCTATGGATCTAGCCCTTAATGAATACAACCAACTTTTAGCCTTTTCTTTTAAGGAAAAAGGAAAAAATTTCAACCTGATGAAATTAATCCTATCAAGTTGAACATTGTAAAAGGTGCCAATTGCTTCTTCAAATTCCCTAACATGCACATAAGGATTTTCACTTTCCATGCCATGAAAAATGGGAAGCAGTTGAATCATTCCAAGTTTGAAATCATAATTTGGCATGTTAGGTGGAAACATGATGCATGAAGGATTTGGTGCACGAATAGGATGCAAAAATGTCTCTAAAGTTCTAGGTGCAACTACTTCTCTCATTTCATTATTCTCAATCTCATTATTTTCAATATGAGCATTAATTTCTTGTTCATTATTCGCAATTTCTTGTTCATCATTCACAATTGCTGCCATGCTTTCAGATTTATTGGATATTTCAGTTGAAGAAGTTGAAGCAAAATGTTCTAAATTAACAGTTTCAGACTTTTTGACAAACCTTCCTAGATGATCTCTAGGTCGCATAAAGTAAATAAATAAATAAACAAAAACAAAAAAAAA